TGGCGAACATCAGGTTAAGGTCAAAGGTCAGGATTTCATAATCGACTCATTGTTTCCTGTTTTGTTTCCCCTTAGTGATTCATGGAGGGCATTCCTCCAAGGGTCTTCTGATAGGCTTTCATGTATTTCGCCACCCCCAGCCCCGTTGCTCCCCCCACCCCTGTTAGTGTGACTGCTGGTGCATTTCCGACAGTATGGCGGCTAAATAAAAACCATGGCGGTGGACACAGCCCCCCCCCCATCACCCGCCCCCGGGCTCATCTGGGTGATTAAGCAGCAGAATCAGCCTGAGCTCCCATAAGCGGCTCTCTGGGCGCCCTGACGTTCTGGATGAGGGGCTTCATAGGGAGGGGGGGGGGGGGCGCATACCCCCTGAATTTCCAGCAGCGTTCTGCGTCTGAACTGCTGACTGCGCCATAGCTACAGCTCATAATTAATCCTCGTCGTTTAGCTCGGATAAACTCGGACGCGTCCCCCCCCCCCCCCCCCCCCCCCCCCCCCCCCCCCCGGCTCTGCGCAGGCCCTTTACAAGCTGCCTGGGCTTAGTGTTCGGCCCAAAATAAGGAAACGCTTATGCAGGTGAGCATCCCGTTCCCTTGTCCGTCGGACGGATAACTTCACCCATTTCAAACAGGACGCCTGGCCCTTCTTGTTGAAGGAGTTAACAAGGTGTTGCTCCTTTTGTTGGCTAATATTGGCTGCTCCATTATTCTGGAAGGTTCTGGCACCCCCCCCCCCCAGTGGCCATGTGGACTATGTTTACAGTCTGGTGGATGTGAGGAGAGAGTAGATCAGAAGTGGCCACATGACCGTCCCATTGGTGTTTACTGGCCTTCATGTAGTTTCAGCGCCGCATCTCCCAAACGGTCCTCTGAATTTCCATGTGAATATATGGACCACTTACCTAGGTGCCGTGGATCTGATGTCTTGTGGGTATCTTGGTGCAAATCCTGAGAGCGACTGATGAGCCCTTTGGCTGCCTGAGGACCCAGGCCTTGGAGGGACAGTTACACCTTCAGGGCTGCGTGGGAGCCTCGGCCTACCGGAGGCCAAACCCACACTGGAATCTGTGGGAGTGGCAGCATTTATTAGGAGGAGTAATTGAATTGTGGAGACCTAATGAAACCGGGAGGGAGAGACTGGACTTGGGGGTGAGGGGGGGGGGGGCTGACAGCTCATTAGCATGGAGGGTGTCTCATTTTCAGCACGGCGCGTTCTCCAGTGAGAAGGTTAATACACGCATGGGAAGGTCCAACGCAGCTCGAGCGGATGTGATGGGATCACAAGACTAAATAATACCCGAGTCGCCCCTGCAAGGCACACCATTTGTTTTATTTTTTTGTTTATCTACAATATGACATTGTTTAAAGGAAGAAATGGAACAAGGGGAAGAAAAACTCTCAATTAGATGTGCGTGGTGTGCTTCCCAGGGATGGGATTTTCACTGCCTTGTGTCAACTCACGTGGTCTTTACCCTGTCGGTCTACATGGCCTCTGGGTAGCAGTGGGCAGGATCAGCCAGCGAGCGGCTCCGTAAATTCAGCCAGTACAAGGCAGACACTGGGGGGACGCGCTGGTGCACGGTGACCCGGACAGTCCGGAAATCACGGAAACGGTGTCGGGACCAGCGCTACGACCCCGAATAACAACAGAACAAGTCAGCAGGTGTAGGAAGTCTGGAGCGTGGAAACTTGTGTGTACGAAATGTTGCTAAACGTTAGCAGGGTGGCAGCCCTCTGCCTCACGGCGAACGAGGAGTGATGCTTATGGTTCAGGATGCAGTTATTGGACGTGCAGAATTTACCCAGTGTAAGCAGTTCTCGCTAATAAAAGTATCAAGGGCAGTGAAATATGGACAGTGGAACGTTCTGCCGTGTGATTTAGACAGTCATAAGTAGCATTGCTGGTGACTGATTTCTCTAAAGTGGTCGTGGGTGGGGGGGGAATGGTGGAGAGAAGTGTTTATTGACTTTGGTTTGGGGGGGGGGGGTGTGGTAATTCTGTGACCTGGGAATGTTAGTCACGGGAAAACTGTGAAGCTGAAAAAAAAACTGACAACATATTATGGGTCTGCTGGTGAGTAATGTCCAATCAGGGGCCAGGAGTGTAACATGACATCAGCGATGTTATTGCAGAATATAAGCTGCCTGATAATTCAAGGCGATTCAAGGCGTCCCCTCCCACGGAGCTCCCAGATGACATTCTCGCGGCCGCTGAAGCGGGGCCCGGCCTTTAGGCGGGAAATCACAGTGAGTCAGTGTGCCTCGCCTCTCAAAAAGAGCCAATTTTGAGAAGAGCCGGCTCATCGCTGAATATTCCCCCTCTGCCGCCATCTGATCGCGTATCAGATTGCTATCACCTGTAGAGCGAAAGGTGTTACTGGGGGCTGCTCTTGTCAGCGGCATATGCAGCCATTGTACGCTCTTACTGCGGCTGTTTTCTCGCCCCGTGTGGCTTCCAGGCTGGTACCCGCTGAAATTCTCTAATGGTTTTTACGTTGTTACTTTGAAGCTCACTCCAGGTTACCAGTCGAGCAGCTGGGACATGCAGTAAGAGCGGTGTGTTTCCAGTCATGGTCAGCTATTGCAATCATCATGGAAAATGTGTGTGTGTGTGTGTATATAGCGGATTGTTTAATTTCAGCCTGTCTGTGGCATCGAGGAATGAAAAGAATGTGTCATACAGATCATTGCGGGAGAGGACAGGAGGAGTTCTGTGCATCGTCTAGGATGTCCCCCCCCCAGCCCACCCCAGGGGTCTATACAGTAGATCAGTTCCTTGGAGCAAAATATTCTGTGGACTTGTTTTCCTACGTCACCATCAGGCCCTCTGTGGCAAAACAACATCAACTGGCCACTTAGGTCCCAGTCCTGAGAAACCAGTGGCCCCAGTTACACAATCCTTTCAACAGAACCATTTTTTGAGACAAAAATATCAATGCCGCGTCAACCATAAGTACAACTGTGCTGTAATTATACCTCCAGTGTGTATAAACGAGTGTGGATAAAAATGGGTGAGGGGGGGATTTACATAACATCTGAGACGCTGACCCATTAGATCATACTTAACTGTGGCATTATAATGCCTCACTGAAATTAAATTTCGTCTCGATTACCATCCGAGGAGAACAATAACATTGCAGTCTCTTGCGCGGATGGATGACGGTGTATTGTACAGTTTTTTTTCGACGGCCATAGTCGAGTCCCACATCCAAGTGTCAGTTTTTTTTCCCGGTTCTGCAGAAGGCAGCCGCTTATCACGCAGAAAAAGGCCGACGAGCTCGGAGCTGCACAGATGTCTGTCTTGATAGAGGCTAACTGAAGCGGCACTCCGGCATTGGGAATAGCACAGAGGGGTCATTGGAATTAGCGCTTTGCAGAGGAGCGCGTTCCGCAGCTTGATGAATATATTGACCTCTGCTTGCCCAACGCCTGCATCCTCCCCTTCCGCCTGCCGCCCTTCGACGGGGCACTCTGCTCGCTGAAAGCAGCCCTGGCTGTTACTTCGCGTCAATGGGACACCGGCCTTTCAGCCGGACCTCGCCTTGAAGATCCTTTCAGATGGACTCTGTTTGAAGGGCTAATGCAGGTTGGCCGTTAGCATCGGGACCACGATTATCGCCCTGAAGTGGGAAGTGTGTGTTTTGTAAAGAACAAAAGCTTAAAAGGAATGAGGGGGATAAGTCAGGAGAAAATGAAATGAAATTCAAATTAAAGCCTCGTGTAACAATTAATGAATTAATATTCCATGTATGTGAATGATGGTGTGGGGCGGATGAGGAAGAGTGTTCCTTTGCCCCAGTTGAGTTCACTGGAGTCTTTCGGTACATTGAGCATGGGCTGTGGGGTATTTTATGGAACCATACTGGCTCCTTGAACCACAACCTCCAGGTCACAAGGCCAGTCCCAAGGAACCTGTGCGAACCTGCATTGTATAATTTTTGCATTCTTTAGTAATTCTTCAGGGGGACGTCAAAAGATCATCAGAATTATTGTGGCAGAGGTCTTCTTAGCAAGGGCCTCGGCTGATGCATCCCGCGTGAAATGTGATGCTGGCATGTGTTTGCTCCCAGGCGGGACAATGTTCCTGAAAAAAGGCTTTTTAAGGCTTTCCCTGAGACGAGCCTCCAGAAGCACAGCGATTTAATTTTTCATAAGGCTGCGTGAAGGAATCAGCGGGATCCTTTTATTTGTGCTTTTCAGTTTGATGGTTTTAAATGAATTATGAGGCGAATTCTCTTCCTCTGTAGTGCCTGCCCTTTTTCTGCTATTTTCAGCTGACTTTCCCCCATCGATCAGATGTCTCCAGTGTTGCCTGAAAGTGGTGAGATTTTTATTGTGCATGAAATTTTCTTTCTAGTCCAAAGGACCAGATATACCGTCATAGGGGCTGGGCAGGGAAAACAAATTGATTATGGAAATTTATATAAATGATTCCAATAACACTTGGAGAAATGTCGTAAAATTGCCCATGTTTTATTCGTTGCGGTACTTCTATAAAATTTTAATTAGGCATTCAGTAGGGTAAGGAAGAGGCAAAAAAAAACAGGAGTAAGAGCATACTGAGTCATTTATTAATTTAGCAGATGCTTGTATCCAAAGAGACATTCTTTTGAGGAGGAGTTGGGGTTAAGGGCCTCGCTCAAGAGCTTGATGGTGAAAACACTCTGCCGACCCAGGGATATGAGCTGGTGACCTTCTGATCATGGGCGCAGAATCCTACGCAGAGCCATACGCCTCCATACCCATTGTCCTGGTGCTGTTTTAATGAATTTCATACAGATGGTCTTGTTTTAGTCCTAAGACCCATCTTCTGCTTGGTCTTGATCTTGGAATTCTGAATTGAAAACATCAGGTATATTTTTCCCTGGGGGTCATTCTTCATTGATGGTCTTGCCTTGGCACATGCCAGGTGAATCTGTAGTAATGGTCTTTCGCTTTAAAGTGTCACAGTTCAAATTGTACTGTTTCAATAACCGCTACCCTATGCTGTCATTTCAGATCGTGTTCCGAAAGATCAGCGATGTTAAGCGTGAGGAGGAGGAGCTGCTGAGGAGGAAGAACGAGGCCCCTCTGAACCTGCCCCCCGACCACCCTGTACGTCGGCTCTTCCAGAGGTTTCGGCAGCAGAAGGAGGCTCGACTTGCAGCGGAGCGCACCTTTGACGAGCTGGACGTGGAGAAGGGGGTTGTGCAGATAGAGCAGGCTACCACCCACGATATCACCCCCCCCCCCACCAGCATTGTCACGGTGACGGAAAGTCCCGCCACGCCCGTGCCCTCGGTCACTGCCGCCTCCACCTCCGGAGCGTCAGACCGTGCCAAACTCCAGGCTCCCGCACTGGGCAGCCACCCAAACTCCAAGTCCACGGAGCCGACCAGAGGAAAAGGCTGGGGAAGGTTCAAGGAGGCGGTAGGCAAGTCAGATGGTTGGAGCAAAGTGTCCAAAGCAGAATCGATGGAGACCTTGCCGGAGAGGACCAAGTCACATGAGGAGACCTCTCTGAAGAAGACGGACTCCTGCGACAGCGGCATAACCAAAAGCGACCTACGGCTGGACAATGTGGGAGATGCTCGGACCCCACAGGATCGGAGTCCCATTCAGCCAGAGGTGAAGCACACCTTCTACCCCATTCCCGAGCACTCCATACAGGCCTCCATCCTGGAGCTCAAGCATGAACTGAAGGAGGACATCAAAGCCCTCGGTACCCGCATGTCCATCCTGGAGGCACAGCTGGGTGAGATGGTGAGGATGCTCAAGGCCAAGAGACCACTGGACTCTCCCCAGCCGATATTTGACATCTCACACCCAGGATCGCCTGAATCAGACAAGGAAGACATCTTCTCGTAGAAATCCAACATTGCTTGGCCGTGCAGACGCATCTTGCTAACTGCACTCAGACCCAGGAATTAGCACTAACTAGAGGCGTCTGAAGGCCCAGAGGCTCTGCGACATGGAGTACACTGGCAAACCATCAGCAGTGGGAGTGGCCCAGGGCCCGGCCCATGATCCTTTGCTCAGCTACAGCACCGCATCGTCGTAGTTGTGGCCCCAACGTGCGTGAGGTTTTTCGCTGGATCACAGCTGTGCTGCGCGTCTGCTTGGTCGCCTGTGTATATATCAGGTACAGGACTGAGGTTTAACTGACCCTCTTTTGTAGAGTTACAGAATTGGGAAAGAAGTTATATTTTTATTTATCAGCCAGGATTTTGAGACAATTTAAACTTACTGGTGTTTCTGAAGAAAACATCATTTTGCTCTTCTCTGTGGCGAGCTAGTATTCTACATGCCATTCAGGACTTTTGATGTTCTTAAGCTCACTGTCCTCCTCCCAGCTTCGATTCGACCATGTGCTTCGGCCTTGCAGCCCCGCGTCAGCCGATAAGATTGTCGAACGAAGCGGAATAAGTCAGAGAATTAAAAAGCAGAAATTCACGATTAAGGACGCAGAACTTTTCTTGCACATTAGCTCTTATTAGCCGCATGTGGAAGAGGTTGTACCCTGGTTGTCTATAGTTGCTCTGGATGATAAAGACTTTAGAGGTTGAGGAAAATGTGAAGTTAATGATACATTTCCATTACAGATGGGTCTTCCAAATCCTTAACCTCTTCAGCATCCTCAGAGCAAAGCATGGCATGATTACGAGATGCTTACCTGCGTCTGTCCCCTGTGGCCTTGTACGTCTTTAACCTTAGATCCATGTGGAGTTTAGAAATGCAATCACAGCGTTTTGTTTACAGATGCTAGTTACTAGGCTGGGTTATCAGAAGCTGCTCCATTTTCTGAGTGCACCTCTGTGGACAGGTAATCAGGAAAGGAGTTACAGGGTCACGAATGGTGGTGAAGTCAATTATGCTTTGATTGTCCAGTCTCTGCTTTGCCTTTCAGCCAAACATTTTCTGGAACTGCTTGTGGGGCAGGAAACAACCCAGGCTAGGGTGCCAACCCATTGGGGAGGACACACACACACGTACCTGGAGAAAGCCCCACAGCAAGGGAGAATATACAAGCTCCACACCCAGAGACCTGAACCCAGGTCTCAGAGGTGTGGGGCAGCAGGGCTGACCGCTGCTCCACATGCCACCCCCCTTGCTTTCAGCTCCATACCATGATCATGAAGGTGGTTCACCCAGGACAAAGCCCATTACATGTTAGCATGGTACTGCTGTCCCATATGGGTTAAATGCAGAAGACACATTTCATTGCAATGCTGTTGTGTCAACAATGATATCACTTCAGATATTCTGGTTGCCCCAGTCATTACATTTTTCATGATTTATTTTAGATAATGTAGACATATCACATTTTTCCTGTTGGTCCAGTATGAGAAATTATTAGGATGAGGCTGACAGGCATTGAACGGTTCATAATTACTATGTTCCCCCATACAACCATGAGCTGTTTGCCTGTGAAATATCTGTATCTGGTCCTGACTAAATGTACTATTGTTGAGTAATAATTTCAATTAAGATTTAACAGTAAGGAAGCAAGTCACTAACAGACCTGACTAAAGCACCTGCTGTTCTCAAACAAATTTGTACAGGGCCAAGTGACTAATTTGCTTTATAATGTAACAACTTTAACAACCATAAAGACAGCCAATTCAGAAAAATCAGTGAAGGGGTTTGAGATTTAGCACAGAGGATGGTGAAACGATTCCGAAAAGTAGTCATGTCTGGAGACAAACGAATAAGCCAGAATCATTACAGATCCTGCTTAACGCTAATACCGTTTAACATTAGCGTGTGTTCGTTAGCGCTTGTTAGAACAGTAATTCCCCAAAAACACTTCAGGTTCAAGCGATAAACCCAGAGTCATGAGTACATTGATGCGTTTCATACGAAATGCACCCGTAATACCTAGAAAAGTGTCACAACAGTCACAAATTATGGAACAATTAGTCGAATATGGCCCAAAATACAAGTGGAGTGCTACAGCTCGTTGGCGTCATGAGAATATCCTACTGCTGGGAGTAAGAAATGGAAAAGTCATCTGAGTTTGAGAAAATGCCAAGTACTAACCAGGGACTTTGGTGGTATGGCGTAACGTTTTGCCGCGATGTAAAATATTCCAGAGTGAGACTAGGACTTAACCGAACCAGAAATAACTAGGTGTGACTGGGACCGGTGGGCCTGCTGAGGTGTTACACACCCGGATCAAGAATGAGGCAATATGAACCTGGCTGTTACAGCACAGGTGCCCGTATTCTGGGCCGCTGATGAGCAATAATGCCTGACCAGGTAGAATGTATATGTTCCCACTGCTCCCAATAAAAAGGTGGGATGGGGTTTAAGCATCATGTTAAGCAAATTCAGAGCCAGAAGGGATCAGGGAATAGTGCTTCAAGGAACAGCCTACGCACAGTGATGTTTATCTAAGATAGTGCCGATAATATCCAAAGCCTTTGGTGACACTGTAGTAAAACCTATTTTAATCCATGGTTCTGTGGATGCATTTAGAATAACCCACAGTTTGCAATGGGAGTCAAGCTGCTATAGAAGCGGAAGTAGGAACAGCTGGCCCAGTGTGACCGACAAAGCTGTCCCCCCACCCACCAAAAACAGTGTTAACCTGAGTCGCTGCCGCACTTCTAAACACGCGTATCTGAACATGACAAAGAAACGGACTATTTTTGTGGTCAGCAGTGAAAGCTGCCAGCTAGTGACAGAGGAATGTGACCCTTAGCAGAAAGAGAAAATATGAAGATTATATATATACACAGACAATGATTTATGCACGTCATTGTATCACTTTTTCCTGTATTGAAATTTAACTACTGTAAGCACAAGAGTTTATTTGTAAAGATATGTAATGTTATTTATAATAAACTATTTTATACATGAAAGCTTGTATATATATTTTTTCAGCCCCCCCCCATATGATTAAAATGAATTATTCAACCAGGATTTTGAGACAATTTAAACTTACTGGTGTTTCTGTAAACCCATCACAGGGCACAAGGCAGGAATAACCCAGGATGGGGCACCAACCCATCGCAGGGCACAAGGCAGGAATAACCCAGGATGGGGCACCAACCCATCGCAGGGCACAAGGCAGGAATAACCCAGGATGGGGCACCAACCCATCGCAGGGCACAAGGCAGGAATAACCCAGGATGGGGCACCAACCCATCGCAGGGCACAAGGCAGGAATGGAAGGGGGGGGGCATGCAAACTCCGCACATGTAGAGCTGGGGCAGAGACTCGAACCCTAGTCCCAGAGGTGTGATGCGACAATGCTGACGCCTGATCCCTAAAATTTTAATATATACTTATTTATCCCAATGCAGTTTCATAACACGGAATTGAGGGACCAGGCAGCCAGACACAAAGCCCTGCATGCTGAGGGTGTTTCAGTTACAGACAGGACTGCCCCATACCTGCAGAGTCACAGTCAGGCCTAATTATGAGGGCATGTCATTCACATAGGGGGAGCTGGGGAGACGCTGAGGTAGGCGACTGCTAGCACCCCTTGTAACAAATCTGGGAGCATACGTAATTAACTGCAACACCCACAGCTTGCACCAAACCAGGCAACATCCTAATAAGGCAGCATGAACAGCAGCATGTGACGTCCTGACAGCCAGCCTGACACGTCACCGACAAACCTCCCCAAAAGGAATAGAGCCCTTACATCTAATACGGGAATTTAATTCATTTCTACATCACTAATCCACTTGTAATAGGTTTGCATTCTTACAATAAGCTGTTTAAAACCTAATACCCCAGTACGTTCTACAGACAGACGTGTCACATAGACGCTAGAAGAGTTGTAGTAATTAGATAGGATTTCTCTTTAACCCGCTCCCTAATCTGATTGGCTCCCCAAAGCGGCTTATCCCCTTTAGTGTTACCAAACAAATGCACTGGATTGCCAGGGCTGCAAATCCAACGATTGAGGCGTGGTCCCCTTAAATCGCGTCACTGTGCCAAACAATTGAAGACAAGCCACAAAGGAATTAAGTAGAATCAATGCCTTGATACAGATGGAAATCATGGTGCACGTTGTGGTCATCTTGAAATTTCCAGTGGGGGGCAGTGTTTTGTGTAAGTGATGGGCTGCACAAACGCCCACTGTAGAAGGGGGATTCACAGAGCTGACAGCACCAGCGTAGCGCTACATCCTGGACCACGGTGCTTCCAGTCCGAATCCAGAGGGCCCATGGATGGCGGGTCTGCTCAGAGTCTCTCGTCCCATTCCAGTCCGATTTGTGCGTAGCAGTACAGGAACAGCAGTACTGGTGGAAATACTGTGGACCAGCCTGTGGGCAAAGGGGAACAAACATCAATGTCCCTGTTTCTCCGGATGATAAATCAGGAGTTCAGAACCTGATACTGCAAGAATCGAATGGCTGGATAAATGGGTGGGTGGGCAAGACGATCAATAAGAAACCTCTCACAAATTAAACTTCATGACAATTTAATCTTCCATGATGATTCATTAATGGAACAAAGACCACAGTGTTAAGCAGAAGTATGGCCTGCAGTGATGATATATCACACATACCATATTAACATTTTTAATAGTTGCATATGGTAAATAATAGACAGGGGATAAATGGTACATGAAATATTTCGCGGTCCGCTGCAGAACCCAAAACCACAGAGTCTCCTTAAGGGCCCTCAGACGAAGCCTTAAAAAACCGTAACCCCGGCAACCGCACTCCTCAGCATTCCATAGAGACGCCGCATCAGACTGTCTGACCCGCGCTATGGGGGAGTTAACACAGACAATGCTATTTAACATGTAGACTCTGTGCGTCCTTAATTACATAAGCTAATAATCTGTCGGGAGGTTCCAGCGTCAAGCCGCTCAGTAGCAGCGGTGCGTTGCTGTGGAACACGATGCTTTGATGCGGCGTTCTGTGTCGTGTTAGCAGACGGGACGTTTGGGGAGAGATTATGATTAACCGCAAGCACCACGGGCAGCGGCTCGAGAAGCGAAAGCCCGCCGGCAGGAAAACTCGCCAACAAGGCCCAGTCACCATATTATGATGCCACTCCCTGTTTAAATGAATGCATCCTGGAGCAACAACAAACAGGATTAACACAGTACAATAAGAGTGACAGTTTAATATCCTGTGTTGTGGTGTGTTACTTCTTTACTGGATCACCACTAAAGCGGGTTCCCCCCCCGCCCATTCCTGCCATTACACACAGGGTCCACACACCCTAAGGCCTCAAACTACAAACCAAATTGTTCAAAATATGGCCGTGCACTCGCTCTGAAAAGGCGGAGACATGATCCGATTAACCCATTATAAACCTGCTTAAAACTAAGTAGACACCTGCTCACCCACGTGTTCATCCACTTCAGAGAAGCTATCAGTCACACCATGGTCAAAAGTAGTGATGGCCAAGTGAAGCTTCATGAACCATTTGCTGTATTTTTTTACCCCACTAGATGGTGCTCTTGGCTTGCTTTGGGGCATGAATTGAGCCCTTTTATGAACAGAAAGCAGCCAACTATCGGGGTCAGAAAATACAGCAAATGGTTCATGAAGCTTCGTTAGGCCATCACTAGTCAAAAGCGTATTGACGGTTCAGCCACCCCCACAGCTCCCAGATCAGGGAGTGGCTAACCCTGGCGAATCAGCTGACACCACACCCAAGACCCTGAGCAGTGTCCCTGACAGCAGGAAAAGGCAAAAGGCTTCAGACCGACAGGCAGATCCTGAACAGCCGTGAGCTCTTGTCTGTGCCGGGGAGAGATCACGCTCCCCTTTCACTGGTGTCTGTTCCTAAGCCCCCAGGACTAGCGGTTCTGCTGGACTTTCTCCCTTTCATGTGTCGAACTGATAGTGCGGCTTTCATTAAGCAGCACATCCTTTACTGTGGTCTTTTCATCTTCCTCGGTGTAGAAGTGCTCGCCGCCGATGGGGTGAGCTCCCGCTACATGGGCTGTTTGTGACCCCACCTCTACACCAGCTCCTCAAAACCACAAAGTACCCCAGCACACAAGGTCCACACTCAACCCTTTAAACCCACATACTCCAAAAAAATGCACCTCTTCAAATTATTACTAAATATAAATCAAAAACAAAGGCACGACTAACAGTATTTGAGTGACCCTATTACCGCCTATAACTTTCACATTACACACACACGTGCATGCGCACGTTCACCATGTGATGTCTATCAATCAAGAAAAATGTAGGTGGAGAATCATTTACACAGTTTACTGCCTACATTTAAGAAAATAAGGACAAACTACGTATGGAAACAGCTGCTTAGTGCTGCCTGATCATCTACGGACAGAGGCTTAGAGGCCTGAAGGGCTCTCCCCAGAATCCCATACAACAGAGAGAAGTGACAGAGAACCCCCCAC